AAACTTAACATATCTAGTGAGTTATGGTTGAAATTTCGTGGCTTAAAACCTCACTGAATGGGCTACAAAAATTCATGAACCTCAGCCACATCTACACTTCATGCATTATTGCATGCAACTTTTCTTAAATTGTTTGGAATCATTACCCTCATTTCTCTTCTGAATACATTCTTAACATTTTTACTTTTGAAAGCCCTTGCATGCATGAGATAATCTGGAAAATTTCAAGAGCTTTTGTTATTTATTTGATTTATTAGAATTATTGCTAAAACCAAGGGCATAAATCATATAAAATACTTCCAGAGGTCAATAAATCCTAAATAAATTCATGGATGATACTTATGGGGAATAATGACCCCTCACCAAATTTCAGCAATTTTTGTTACTGTTTCATATGATTTCTAATTTTCTTTTATTTAGGACATGATAAATTACAAAACCACTTTTTAGGATGTGAAAATTTTATCTAACAATTTTCGCATACCTTACTTGTGATGGGTGACTCAAGAAAATAATTTCAAGATTTTTCATCATGTCTAGCTATTTTTCCCAATTTTTGGTAATTATAATGGCTTAAAAATGGGAAAAATAGTTCTGATTATCCAAAATTCATGAAAATTTGCCAGGATATCATATTATATAGTAGGAGGTTACATAAAAATTTTGAATATTTTTCTCCACTGTAAACTATTTTTCCCTTATTTTCTAAAGTTAATTGCACTAAAATTCACTTAAATATACATAAATACCCAAAACCAGTTTATACATTATGAAAACCACTTTTGATATTTTTCCCAAGATATTTATACTGTAAATGATGTTACAAAAATTTATGGTAATTTATTTTAACTGTTTAATAATATTTCTTTAATTAATGACTATTTAAAGAAATAAAACAAGGAAAAATACAAATAACCACTGAAAAATATATTTTATATTTTTCCCAGCCTATTTATGTATAATAACAATTAAATAAAAAGTTTGGGTAATTTTGGAAACTGTTTACTATTTATTTCAATTTTTATTGAAATAAATGCTCAAAAATTATAAAATATAATTAAACAGCTTGGAAATCCATTTTTATAATTTTCCCAGCTTAGTGTTGTGTATTAACAGTTAAATAAAAAGTTTGAGAATTTTTATCCCTCGAATACTATTTTTCGTGAATTTATGTTGTTATTGAGACTTAAAATTTGGAAAATTAACCTTCCAAGGTTGTAATTAATCGCACGACTTGTAAAATTTCAATACATCAGAAAAAGTGTAACAAAATGATATAAATCCAATACTAAAACATAAATTGGCATTTCCCTATATGTAGAGTTTAGTATATTAGCATTAGATATCGACATGGAAACTCACTAGTGCGTGTGTTTGGTGTCGTAGGATCCCGGTAGTAAGACGTTGGTGCATCCCGAAGTACCGCTTGTGTCTACACAAAACATCGTGAGTATTCACGCACTCCCCTATTTTCGTTTTATGTTTTGGGGTGGAAAAGCATGTCCAGAAAAACTATTGTTTGCATGTTGTACTTAAATTGAATTGTATCAAACATGATTGCTATTGTATTGCTATGTTTCTTTATGTATGTCTATGCAACACGGAACATGAGAACTTATCGTACAAAGGCCCTTCCCTTATCTCTAACCATTAACTCTTTGAGCCAATGGTCGTTATGGATAGCGCTATTAGGAATTGACAACTCCTCACTCGCCCGAATCGCTGGAGTGCATGATACCATATTCATCTATGGAACGATAAGCATAGATCTCGATAGGGCTTCAGTCATAGGTTTGGTTGAGACTCATTGTTTGCTCATACACATACAAACTCGTTTCTCGTTATAGCAATAAACTTGTATTCATTAATAGCAATCAACTTGTTTATTATTGAAGCAATGTACTTGTATTTACGAAAAGCCTTATTGTACGCTCGATTTTATAAACTTGTGATACTCACCAACTATTTTCATAGTTGACGCTCGTTTTACATGCTTTTTCAGGAAATAATTAGTAAGTGGATGTAAAGATTCATCATCATAGAGCATGCTGCATCGTGTTGAAGCTATTATGAAGCTATATTTTGAACAATGTTATTTTGAAAAACTTGTATTTTGTTCTTTTGAAGCTATGGGTTGTAAACTTTTAAATACTGCTATGGTGATGTATCTTTATCTTTTGCAATGAAACCGTTATCGCTGTCATACCTTGCGTTTCCGCTTTAGCGGGGTGTGACACAAAGGCCTCGGGAATGCATTTCAGGTTAAAATGTTTTAAAATTTTAATTTGAGAAATCTACATATTTAGCCTTCTGAAATCATCATTTGTCGAGAAATAGCCAAAAAGTTATAAAAAACAAAAGAGTAAGTTACTGAAGTCGTTCCTGTGGTTTGGTCAAAACTGCATATTTGATCTTTAACTTTTTTTTTTTGCACTCGGATCGTCTCTGTGGTTTGATTTTGTTGCGTTTTTTGTTCCTGTGGTTTGATTTTATTGCATTTTTCGTCCCTTACATACATAAAGTTAGGGACCAAACATGCAACTTTTGCCAAACCATAGGAACAAAAATGCAACAAAATCAAACCATAGGGACGATCCGAGTGCAAAAAAAAAATTAAGGACCAAACGTGCAATTCTAACCAAACCATAGGAACGATTTCGGTAATTTACTCAAAACAAAACTACACAAAATGAAATGGCAGATGAGCTTTCACATGTTGCAATCTTGTCATTTTTGCATGATGGAATTGTAGATGTCAAAACATCTACGATTTCCTTTCCTTAACTGAGATTGTACATGTCTTTAATGCATAACATTATGCATTAAACACTTGTATAATTTCATTTAAATAGAGGAAATCCCATATGAGATTTTGGAAAAAAAAAATCAATGACCGATGACACCTGTGATTTCATGGTACAAAAATAACAAAAATTATTATTATATTTTTTTTATACTTTTGACGAAATGGCAACCCGCGAAGGCCCATCTGCGATTTCATTGGCCATTCGGGTTCTTTCTTAATTTTTTTAGCTATCTTTTGTCTTTTTCTATTATAACTTTTGTAATAATCTATAATACGTAAATAATTATGAATTTGTTATAATCAGGTTGATACGGTTGCTTACCATTTGTCCGTGCTAAAGAATTTGTACCCACACGGAGTAAACGTTCTTTCGCTTTTCTCCGGGATTGGTGGGGCGGAAGTTGCACTACACAGACTCGGGATTCCAATGAAGAATGTGGTTTCTGTTGAGAAATCTTTAGTTTGTCAGAATATTCTTCAGGATTGGTGGGAACAAACTAACCAAAAAGGGAATTTGATACACGTGTCAGATGTTGAAGATGTGACAGTTGAGAAGTTAAAAGAGTGGATTGGGTGTTTTGGAGGGTTTGATCTTGTGATTGGAGGGAGTCCTTGTAACAATCTTGCTGGTGGAAATAGGAGAACACGTGATGGACTTGAAGGGGAACACTCTTCGCTTTTTTATGACTATTTTCGTATTCTTGATGGGGTTAAGTCTATTATGGGTACAAATTAAATTAGATATCCTGATTTAATACAATATCTTTACTTTTGGATATAAAGTAAACAATTCCCACCATTGTGTTCTCATTTATTAGCGTTGAATGTAAATGGTGAAAGCTAACGAAACCTCAGGATTCACGTTACAAATGTCCTTGGTAGAATGGAAATATTATATTTGATTTTTATTTGTTTTCTGTTATATTTATCTTGGTTTTGTCTATATTATGATAGAATGGAAACAATATGTTCAAGAAAAATGGTGAATTTTGTTTTTTAATCTGATATTGAGAAATCCAAAACCATATATAATCATCAATGTATAGCTTACATGTTTTAATAGCATTACTCGTATGTAGAATGGAGTTATAAGAGCGTATTTAATGGGAAGTTTTATTATAATTAATTATTATTTGTTTGAAATGGATTAATATTTTATATTGCCTCTTTAATTATATTTAATATTTTACAATTAGTTTTTTAGTAAAAAAAAAATTTTTTATTAAAAATATGATAGTATTTCAATTATGAAATATTTTATTATATAATATTTTTCATGTTTAATTTTATAACTATAACAATTCTTTTTTATATTTTAGTTAATTACCTAATGTAGTTGTACTTAAATATTAATGTCTACTAATACTTATTAAAATAATTTGTAAAATCTAAACGGCAAACATATACACACTCGTCTCGTTAAATACTACTCAGAAATCTATCATTTTTAACATATTTTAGACAACCTTTTTTTTTTTTTTTTTTTTTTTTTTTTTACAAATAACTATTATTTATTTTTATTTTGGGCTAGTAATCATGAAAGACCTAATACTTTTTTTTCTTTAAACCTAATTTTTATTTAAAAAAAGCCTCACATTTAATTTTTTTTTTTTACTCTTTTAGCAGGTATACCAGTGATTTTTCGGTAGTTGAAAAAAAAAATCTACATTTTTTCCTTGAAAAGTTGCTTTGATCTTACTTTTGTTTATGATCTTCTTGTGCTTATTCATATTGCCGGTTTGATCCATAAACATCTATTTAGATTCATATTTTCTTTTTCCTATTGTTGCTCGTTGTTCTTGGTGTGTTGGCTTATAATTTGCGTGTTCTTGTTTATGTGATTTGATCAACAATAACCTCATTATATTTCTTTGAAAATCAAATTTTCCATTCAATTGTCATATCAATAATAGCATGGTCTCGCTCGCCGCTACTAACGGGGTCTCGGTTGATTTCCCTTCCTTTAGCTACTCAGATGTTTCAGTTCGCTAAGTTTGAAAAGTCCAAAGTACTAGCTCTGATCTCTCTTCAGCAGTTGCAGTACGATTCTTTAATTCGAATTCCCACGTTCCAGCTTGCATTATGCCAACAAGTCCCACCCCCAACTCTTTGCTCTTCGACAGCCCGTCACTCGAAGCTCCTCTGTCGCGGAGAATCACTTCGCTACACTCCTTATGGCCCTTCTCTTTAATCAATGATTGTAGCAGCTTGTTGCTCTGCGTTGAACTCCTTTAGTGGCTTGGGACCCATAGATTCATTGTCTGCTGTGCAGAAGCGATCTCGTACTAAACGAAAGAACTTTCACTTAGCTTCAACAGTCCTTTCTCCTTTCTTTTCCGAAACTCAAATAGAAAACTCCGGGAAGAGAAGTGGTTCGTTTTCTTTCTATACGAAATTAAAGATTTCGTTTGTGTTCATGTTGGCGATTTTAGATGTAAATTCGGCGGTTCGTCCCTCCCCTTATGAGGGGATAGGAGTGAAAGAATCATTATAAAACTACGAGGTCGCCCCTTCACTTTCTTTGCTGGACGGGAAGATGCGAATCGTGAAGAACTGCACTCAGGGTTCCAAACCTCCCGTGAGTGACTGTTTTGAATACCAGAATAAAGACAAAATTACATAGATGGTCCCTGTGGTTGGCACGAGAGACCAAAGATAGTCCTTATGAGGAATTTTGAACGAGTATGGTCCCTGTGGTTCCAAATTGTTGCACGAATAGTCCTTATGACATACTCCGTTTAATTGTTGCCGTTTATCTAAATCACGTGACCCTCACACGAGGGTATTTTCGTCTTTTGCTTTGTTACACGAAATGATCATATACATAAATGATCCTTACATCCAGTTGCCATTTACGTTGCCCCAAGAAATCGTCCCTTTCTTTTCTCCTCTGGTTTATCATCTTCGTCACTGCAAAACATCAAACGGAAACTAGGGTTTTCATCTTCATCATTTGCGATGGTTCTAACTTTGTGGAATGTCCGTTCAAAATTCTCAGAAAATCCTGACCTGATCAAAGCTTATGGTGAGTGATCAGTTAACAACTTCCAATTTTGTTAAGTAATTTATGCACATTCAATTTTGAGACTTCATTCTTTCCTCATATCATTATTTATTTGTTTTTCAGTTGAGTTAAGTAGTTTTTGCACATTCAAGATTCACCATGGGGGTATGTTCACAAAATACCCAGGAAGACGTTACGTTGGTGGGAGTATTGACTATGTTGACTACGTAGACATGGACGTGTTCTCCGTACATGAGTTAGACGATATGATGAAGGAGATAGGTTATATCAACGGTGAGCCTATCTACTACCACTTCTTGATTCCAGAGATTGAAATCGATTATGGGTTACTTCCTTTAGGTAATGACTCAGACGTACTTTTGTTAAGTAAGCATGTCGCTAATCATAAAGAGATTATGGTGTATACTGAACATGGAACTACTAGACTCCATACATACTTTATGTCTCCAAATAAGGTCGTATTGAAGAAATCAATGAGCCTATTTCTCCGGAACTCAATCGAAAAAAGTTTACAAGTACAGAGGTAGGATCATGTAGTAGAAAATTGGACTTGAATGAGAACTATGACTTTTCTAGGTCTGTTGTACCTTTTGGACATTTTGATAGAGATGTATTGAAAGATGTTGGAGTTCAGCCTGCAAGTGAGGAGCTTAACAAAGCCCAAGATGTTGGACCTTCAGAAGACTTTGATCCTTTCTTTTATATGGATCATAATGATTACCAACAGATGGGGGACGATGATTACCAACAGATGGGGGACAATGAAGAAATTGGAGATGCTATTAGTGATGAGACTAGTACCAATGGAAGTATAAGCGAGGATAGTGACTTTTTAGTGGATGAACTTAATATGGTGGAGGATGTCGAAGTGAATATGAAAGACTTCCACAGTGGTGTTTATTCTTTTCCAAATCTAGATAACCACCAATCATTCAATGCACCTGATGTCACAGTTGATGACGATTTGGAGGTGATAGATACACAGTTGTTTGAATCAGCTGTTGTAGAAGAAGATGAGAGGAAGAAGTTAATGAGAAGGTTAAACAAACCAACCACGTGTTCATCAGGAGTAGTACATGAAACTGCATTCTATCTGGGTCAAATATTTAAGTCCTCATCAGAAGCGAAGGACTACATTAAAATGCATTCAATTCGAACTAGGAGAAACATTTATTTTGCAAAAAATGATAAACAAAGAATTAGGGCAAAATGCAGGGGTGTGGTCCCAGAAATGACAGGTGGGCCATGGACAAAAAGTAGAATCAAATGCAAGGACAAAACAGTCAGTTCACAAAAAGCAACATGCCCTTGGGTGGTATTAATTTCTAGATCTGATGAAGAAAGCGATTGGATGGTGAAAACTTTGGTTCATGAGCATAGATGTGTGCAGTCAAGATCTATTAAAGCGTGTACTTCTAAGTTTCTTGCAACCACCATTCTTCAACAAGTGGAAGGAAACCCAACTATCCCAGTCAAAGCTTTGCGTGTAGAGTTACAAAAGACATACGAGGTGGGGATGTCAAGAATGAAGGTCTTTAGGGCTAAACAGCTTGCACAGAAACATGTTCACGGAGATTATGAAAAGCAATACAGCCTTCTCAGGGATTATGTACTAGAATTACAACAGTGCAACCCAGGAACAACTGTGAAGATTGATGTATACAGTGAACCAAATGCAAACTTGGAAACTAGGATGTTTAAGAGAATTTATGTCTGTTTAGGTGCATTAAAACTGGGTTTTAAGGCAGGTTTAAGAGATTTCTTAGGATTCGATGGGGCTTTCATGAAGGGACCTTACCCTGGACAGGTTCTCACTGCTGTGGGTCTTGATTCCAATAATGGGATCTACCCACTAGCATATGCCATAGTTGAAGCCGAGAACATAAGCTCATGGAGTTGGTTTCTAGAGTGTCTAGGTGAAGATTTGGAGCTGTCTACAAATTCAAACTTCACATTTATTTCTGACAGGCAAAAGGTTAGTCTTCTTATGATACTTGTTCATGACATCTGTGTAATTTTGTCTGCTACCTTTAAAAAATAACATTTTTGTTACTTGTTTATTAGGGGATTTTACCTGCCATTGCCAACCTATTCCCTAGCGTTGAACACAGGTTTTTTTTAAGACATATTCACGAAAACATGAAGCTACAATGGAGGGGGAAGGAGCACAGAGATCATTTATGGGAATGTGCAACAGCAACAACAGTTAGACACTTTGACAGATTCATGGAAGATTTTAACAAGTTCAATTCAAAGGCATGTGATTGGTTAAAGAAAATTCCACCCAAACATTGGGCCAGAGCACATATTTCGGTATATTTACCCTTATATAACAGTTAGACACCTTGACAGATTCAAGGAAGATTTACACTTTGACAGATTCTTATAAGATATTTTGTTGCATTGTACAGGAAGAGCACATACAGATATTTTGTTGAATAATTTATGTGAAGTTTTCAACTCAAAGTTGTTAGATGCTCGAGACAAACCTATAATTACATGTTTAGAATATATTAGGGAATACATAATGAAACGAATTTGTATTGTGCAAAATGTGATAGATAAGTCTCAAGGGCCTCTTACCCCAACAGCCACAAAACTTTTAGATGGAGTTAAGAAACATGCTTCTCAATACACTTGCATATTTAATGGTGCTGAGAAGACTCAAGTTACTGGGACAATGGGGGAACAATTTGTGGTTAATTGGAGGGACAGGAACTGTAGTTGCAGGCATACAGAGATCACTGGGATACCATGCTCTCATCTTGTTAGTGTCATTTGGGATAAGGTTGAGCATGGGGCAAAAAATGTCCCACCTCTTGAGGAGTGGGTACATCCATGTTATAGGTTAAGCACATGGAATGAAATGTACAAGTACAAAGTTCAACCAATCAATGGAAGAAGTATGTGGCCAAAGTCAGATTGCCCCACAACACTAACACCCCCCAAACATACTAAACAGGTAAATAATTTTCAATTTACAAGTTAGTATACGTTTATATTGTTTTATAATTTATTAATTATGCAGGTAGGGAGACCAAAAAAGAAGAGAAAGAGAGCTCAAACTGAAGAACCAAATAATCAAGGTAAAAGTTTGACCAGGAAGTTCCTTACAGTTACTTGTAGCAAATGCAAGAACAATGGTCACAACTCTAGGAGTTGCAAGGGACAAGGGGGACAAACTGAAGTTAGAAATGTGGTGGCAGGGGGAAAGAAGCTTAGTAAGGCAAAGAAGCAGGGAGATGGAAAAAAGGATAAATCCAAAATGAAGGAAAAAGTTTGATTTGTTGTCTTTTGTGTTGTTTGTTATGGAACCTTAGAAAGGTCTTTTGTGTTGTTTGTTTTGGTACCTTAGAAAGGTCAGACTAAGTTGGTTATTGTGTGTCTTTATCTTTTGTTGGTATTATGGTTCACACAGGGTGCTAGACTAAGATGGTTCTTTTGGTTATGATACATTAGTCTGCAAGCTCTTTTGATATTTTTTTGGTATTATGACTTTTCACTTGAAGGTTATGTAATGAACTTTATGACTATGCAAAAGTTTGCATTTTATTTTTGAACATTTCTAATGTTGTTATGGCTTTACAATGGTTCACACATTATACTACAATGGTCTAAACCCTATAAAAACCTTTCACTTTCATTTTTTATACTTTAATGGATCTGGATAGTTCATTAAGTTGCAAACCAATATTTTACACTCATTACGTTCCAGACCAATATTTTTCAATGGTTGCAGACTAAAAGTTTCCCAAATAAAAAGCATTCCATTCATACATACGAACATTTCTTACATCACAAACAAAAAAACGAAATCATCTTCAAATTAATAGTACTATCTGATTCTACCCACAAGCAAAAGAACCATCATCTATCTACCCACAAGCAAAAGAACCATCATCTCCAGACTAATACTATTAACATCTTTTGTACACATACATGAAAAAGAAAACCCAACTAAAAACTAGCATCATCTTCACTTTTTTTGCTTCAAAACTTGCTTGCAGCAGAGATTCTTGAAGCTTGTTCTTGGATCTTAGCAAACCTGGAATGACAGCCACAGCCCTTCGACACATGGGCTCATCAAACCATGCAATGAAACTGCAACTGCTAGGACATTTCCAAAACCTACGCCCTGGGTTGAGATCCATCCATGATGTCACTATCACCGCTTGCCTTCCACAAAAACAATTTACCATTCGTATGCAAATTTTCTTACAAACACACAGAAGAGAGAAAAGAGAAGAGAGAATAGAGGAGGCGATAAATAAAGAAGGAAGTGATGGGGGTTTAATTTTTATAGGGAAAGGGACTATCTTTTGCAGATCATGAGAGAGAAGGGATAAGCAAATGACGAAAATACCCTCGTGTGAGGGTCACGTGATTTAGATAAACGGCAACAATTAAACGGAGTATGTCATAAGGACTATTCGTGCAACAATTTGGAACCACATGGACCATACTCGTCCAAAATTTCTCATAAGGACTATCTTTGGTCTCTCGTGCCAACCACAGGGACCATCTGTGTAATTTTGTCCAGAATAAAAGAGACCTAACCTCGAAGTCCTCATATAACACTTCTTCCAATCCTGGATGGGGGATCACTTGTAGGAATGACATAATGCTAATCCATGTTCCACACGGCCAAGGAAGCATCGGTTTTTAATCTCATTATGACTTTGTCGTTCAGAAGAGATTGCCCCTATTAGATTAGAGAAGGGTGAGGGCCCACTTCCTTCTGATCTGCTAGCACTGTGAATTACCTTAGACCTACGTAGCAACAATTTCCTTAGGTAATTTATTATTTACTTTTCAAATGAACATATGTATAAACTTAATTAGCAAAAGTATAATATTGAGTTTTTAACCAAAACGGGTTATTTAAAAAACTATTTACCAATCTAGTATAGTTCCAAAAATATTTACCAAAATAATGTTTTTCTTCGTTATACTTCTATTATTCAGTTTTTTTTATTATCTTTTTACTTTAAATACCTATTTTTTTTTTTAAATTTTTTTTACTATCTTTTTAATTTTATTTTTGATAAAAGTTTTTCTCTTGTTTTTTAAAATCAGTTTTTTTTAAGTGTAGATGAATATAACGAATATACTGAAATGAATATTTATACATATATGACTACATATCTTATAAAAAGTATATCTTAATTAATATCGTTACGATATATTAGATGTGAAATAAACATAATATATAACAACTAATATTTTTGTCATATTATTTCTATAATGCAATTACATATTTTAGTAACAAATGTTTTTTATTATTATATGATCTTATATTTAAATTAACTTTTTTTTTTGTTTTGATCAAAGTTTTTTTAAACAAAAAGGAAACAACATGAGTATATATAAAACTTTAAAATGGAAATACTAAGTCATAAAAAGATTGAAAAACCATTAGGTTTATTTTAAAAAATAATCGTAAAAATTCAGTATAACTAATCTAGTGTACTATTATTATTTTGGTTCATTAGAGACCTACTTGTTTGTTTTTTTTAGCATTTCTATAGTGATTATGATGTTTTTGATTTTTTTTTTACCTTAGAAAAAACATTGTATAATGTTGAAGTTTTTACATCTTAAAGAACATTGTATGTGTGCACTATAGATTAGTTATACCGAATTTTTACTATAGAAACGTTAAAAAATCGAACAAATAGGCATCTAATGAACCAAAATAATATGTGTGCACTAGATTAGTTATACCGAATTTTTACGTTTATTTTCTAAAATAAACTTAATGGTTTTTCAAATCTTTTTACGGCTTAGTATTTCCATTTTAAAGTTTTATATATACTCATGTTGATTCCTTTTTGTTAAATTTTTTTTTTTTATCAAAGCTATAGAAAAAAAAAAGTAATATAAATATAAGATCATATAACAATAAAAAAACAGTTGTTACTAGAATATATAATTGCATTATAGATATAATAGCACAAAAATATTAGTTGTTATATATTATGTTTATTTCACATCTAATAGATCGTAATGATATTAATTAAGATACATTTTTTATAAGAGACACACACACACACATATATATATATATATATAATATATATATATATATATATATATATATATATATATTTGTATATTTGTTACTAGAATATTCGTTGTTATATATATATATATATATATATATATATATATATATATATATATATATATATATATATTTGTATGTTTGTAATATTCATCTATACTTTAAAAAAAAAACTGATTTTAAAAAACAAAGAAAAAACTTATAGTAAAAAGATAGTAAAATTAAAAAAAAAAAAAAGGTATTTAAAGTAAAAATATAATAATCAAAACTAAATAATAGAAGTAAAATGAAGAAAAATACTATTTTGGTAAATATTTTTAAAACTATACTAGATTGGTAAATAGTTTTTTCAATAACCCCATTTTGATTAAAAACTCGTAGATATTCTACTTCTGAAATTAGCATATGCAAAACATTTTGTCTCAAAATTAGTAAACGTATAATCATTTATTATATGATTTTATGCAAGTTAATTGACTTACAAAATTTTGTCTCACAATTAGTCCATGTGAAACCACTTGTTATACAATTCCATCAAAGTTAATAGACGCAACAAGAAAATCAAATCCGTCAATTAGGTTTGCGAATTATAGGTGATTTGAGAGTGATATAATTTTGAGAATTAGCATTATGTTTTAATCTATAAAGTAAAACAAAATTACCTTTTGTTTTTTTCTAGGGAAGAGATTAAACGGGTAGTTTGGGACGTGGGGTTGATAAAACTCCATGTCCAGATGGTTTCGCTTTTGGTTTTCTTAAATGGTACTAGGATTCTGTCACAAGTTATTCACTTTCTTGAGATTATCTCCTCGAAATTGTGTAGATTATGGGGTTTGGTTCATGTGGCGTGGGTGGAGTATGGTTGAACTTTCTTCTACTAGAACCTCGGGTTGGGTTAATAGGTCCGTACCTAGGAGTTTGCAGTGCAGAGGGGTTTTGAAGCAAGAAGATCCCTTATCCCATTAGTATTATTACTGCTATGGAAGATTTACATGTGGGCTTCCTTCGTGTTGGGTTAGCTGGAGTGTTGATGGGTATGAATATTGAGGATTTTGATGTGAAAGTTTTTCATTTGTTTCATGCGGTTGATGCATAGGATGTTTCTCGATTAAAAAGTTCGGATTCTTTAACTGATTACTATATTCTAGTTATAATTTTTTTTGGAAAGGAACTTCTCTAACGAGGATTTATAATCTTTGATTACTGAACGGGTCTATCATTATGCACGGCTTGTTTACAACCATTTAAAGGCCAATGATCTCCAAAATTTAAGCACTTTTAGTAGAGGTGTTGGCCAAAAATGAGGTTTCGAGCCTGATCCATTCTTGTCTAGACCGACTCCTTAGAAATTAGGCTTAGCCGGAAAGATATTGGTTTCATGGATCTAACCAGTTCATTCTATATTATATTATTAGGTTATAATCCGTGGACACCACGAATGAGAAAGATAAAAAAAAAATTATAAATAAATCGTAAGGTAATGACTGAACGGTTTTAATAGAAAAATTATTAATTTATAAAGATAAATGTTTTCTCTATGATTTTTTTTTTGATATAATACTTAGTTCAAACTACAACACATTGGTTTTAATATGGGATCGTCATTTTGTGTTTGTAGATATTTTATAAAATTATGATTTTATATTTCAATAGAGTGATTTGATAGGAAACATAAAGCACATATAATTGACCATGTGAAAAAAAGAATCCTTAAGAAACAAATAACCTTCAATAAGAATTATCATTGGCTCATTTTAATTGCAATGATTGGCTCATTTTAATTGTCATTGCAGTAGACTAAAAAATTGGTGATATGCATATATAAGTATAATAATAATTAACATATAACTTCAAAAATAATGATTTGTCAATGTTTTAAAAACCAGTTTTTTAATTGAACCGGTTGGGTGACGTTTTTCGGTTCAACCGGATGATCAAGCCGGTTCTATATTTTTATATGTTTTTAATTATCCTGCATATATTGATTACAAAATTTGTCATTGTTTTAGCATTACAAACGCAAATATAATGCAACATATAAAAACAATCATTATAGAAGTTAAAATCAAACAAAGAAACTCAAAACAAACAAAAAAAATCCAAAACAGTCTGATTCAATCCGGTCCATTCCGTTTCAATTCAGCCGGTTGAACCGGCTTTTTTTTTACCAAAATTGGACGGTTTAATCCGGTTAGGAAATCGTTATAAAAGCGGTTCAA